TGGTAGTGGTAGTGGTAGTAGCGGAAAGTGGGCACGGGCAAAACTAGAAAACCCTGGCCGGCACTCCTTTTCCAACCTGCAGGACAAAGAGCCAAAAGGGCTCATCCGGAAGCTTCGTTCACACTGCTAGCTACCGGCAAGAAAGTGAACAGACGAGCCGATCCTGCATATTATGCTCCCTTCGAGTCACACCCCCTCTGGAGCAGGGTTCGGGCTGGCTCGAGTCTGTTTGGCGGCCTTTCGCCACATTGCCCGCTTCACACCTGCTTGTCGCCGCAGCTCCTGGGCCTGAGGGTTGTCCATTAAGGCCCAGCTGCCCGTCGTAAGTAGTCGAAGCAGGGTGTGATTGTCCAACCACTTTGTAAGTCCGTCGCACGGCATCTCAGAACCTGGCACCCAACGGACAAAGCAGTTGGTGTCGTCATCGACTATGGCCTGTCGCAACACTGCGATGTCGATGGCCACCTTGCGGTCGGTGGGCAACATGTCGCTGTTCAGATCGTCGTACCCCGTCTATTGTCGGTCACCAGGTAGTGCGGCCACCGGCTCACCGACAGCTTCCATCGCTTCAAATCGAAGCGATGGTCTATCAACTCGCAAAAGACGGCCCTCACGAAGTCACCGTGTTCGAAGCATGTAGCCAGGGCACTCACCTCGGCCGACATAGAACATCGCACCACCCTTTGAATCTTGCTGCTCGTGCCCTCGATGGCACAGACGGGAGCCTCACCCTTAAGGATGTCGGGCGAGGCCAGCAGGATCAGCAAGCCTGCCTGGCTGTGTCCTCCTGGCATAGCTCCATAGGCCGCATCACTGACCGACACGACCACCACATCTGCCAAGTCGCAACCCAAGTTACGAATCGGCAGGACCACGTCTTCCCTAGCACGCCTCACCCCTTGGTTCAGCACTCGCAAGGCAGCTGGATCACCGCGACCTGCTAGTTGCTGGATGCTGGATGCCACGAAAGCCAGGTCATAACGGCCTTGACGCGCGGCCCAGTTCAAGCGACCCACGACCGAGCCGATGACCTTCCGCTCCCCTCCTGTCAAAGCATCGTTAGGATCCACTGCCTTGTGTATGGCGTCCGCCAAGAGCTGAATGACCATTGCGTCT